GTTTTTCTTGCCTAATTAGTGCTGAAATATGTTTTAGATTTTCGCAAACTAACCTACTAGCCAAACTCAGGTTCACAAGTATTCAATGTACCTTTCATAGTTTTATCGTCAACCCTTGTACATTCCAAAAAGACAAAAGGTGTCATTTATGTCTCGAACTACAAAACCCAAACTATAAAAAAAGTGTAATTATGTCCCTACCTATTCAATATTCCGAAAATGTCCCAACATATGATAATTTTGTGTTATTTATGTCCTTACGATTTCTTCGACCGTTAGATATAACGGCTGATCGGACGGACGTCCATTAAGTGATGATTGTTGCACGCGTGACAGATAAGTGGCGGCCACATAGACGCTACATCGACTAACAACTGCCCACAATAGGGTTTCTGTTGAAGGTACCAGATGGTCAGCTCGGGTGCCCAAACCCAACCCGAAGTACCAGCCGAATTGAGAGTTGAGTATTTAAGTTCATTTGTATTTTGGGAACAATTTTTACGCAGGATATTAATAATAAACTTCCCAAACCCTATCTCCTCCAAAACCCTACTGTCTTCTCTCGTTCTCTCCTTCCAATCACAACTCTCTTCTTCTCCTGATCTTCTTTTTGATCATAGTACCTACAACAAATTGGTATCAGAGCCTTCTTGAACTTGTCATAGTTCACGATGGAGGCTGCGCTACAGAACTTCGGCGAGTTTTGCAAACAATTGACGCGCGACATGGCAGCCGCCAAAGCTACCCGCGCGATGGCCAAAGCGACGGCTCGGGTTGCTGCCGCCGAGGCGGTGACGGAGCAGACCACCGTAGAGGTGGCTGTTGCCGAGGCCATTTCATGCCACGCCCTCAATGGGTATCCCACACCTGAGACAATGCGATTTCGTGGGACAGTAGAGGGTAGAACTGCTCTCACGTTGGTCGATAGCGGATCTTCTCCCAACTTCATCAGTGAGGAGTTTGTGGCTACATTGGAGCGACAACTGAACGACGTTCCGCCGTTCACCGTCAAGGTCGCCAATGGCCAAGCTCTTCGTTGCACACGGAAGCTTTGGGATGTGGTCTTGAATATTCAAGGTTTGGCGATCTCTATGAACCTGTTTGTGTTGCCGCTTCGTGGTTTGGATGTTGTGCTAGGAATTCCGTGGTTGAAAAGCCTCGGACCAGTTACCTCCGATTGGGATTGACTCACCATGAAGTTCCGATGGAAGGAAAAGGAATGGGTCTTGCTAGGCCTCTTGACTGTGTCGGGTCCGATCACAGCCGATGGATTGTAGAGGGACGACGATGTGGTCTTTGCGACGCTATGTGTGCCGATGGGCGCTGAGCAGCCCCAGGGCGAGTTGGATCCCGATATACAGGAGCTTTTGGCATCTTATACTGACCTATTTGAGAAACCAGCCGCGCTTCCTCCTCTGCGACAGGTGGACCATCGAATTCAGCTGAAGGAAGGGGCTGAGGCGGTGAATGTGCGACCGTATCGGTACGCGCATTTCCAAAAGACAGAGATCGAGAACAGGTTGGGGAGATGCTAGATACCGGATTGGTCAAACCCAGCACTAGCCCTTTTCATCACCGGTGTTGTTGGTGCGAAAGAAGGATGGGACGTGGCGCTTCTGTACGGATTATCGAGCCTTGAACGGAGTGACAGTGAAGGATCGGTTTCATATTCCTATAGTGGAGGACATGTTAGATAAGTTTCATGGGTCGTTGTAATTCACTAAGTTGGACTTGCGTGCTGGCTATCACCAAATCCGGATGGAGGAGGCAGATGTGCATAAGACGGCGTTTCGCACATATAATGGGAACTATGAGTATCTGGTGATGCCTTTTGGGTTATGTAATGCCCCATCCACATTCCATGCAGCAATAAACGACATTTTCAGGCATGTTTTTGCGGAAGCACGTCTTGGTTTTCTTTGACGATATCCTGATTTACAGTAAGAGCTGGGCGGATCATCTATCACATCTCAGGGGAGTATTCGACATATTACGAAGGCAAGGCTATTACGTGAAGGCTTCCAAATGTGCGTTTGGGTTACAGGAGGTCGAGTACTTGGGCCATGTTATCTCGCATGAAGGGGTGAAAGTTGATCCGACCAAGATACAAGCCATGCTTGATTGGCCGCAACCGTCCAATGTAACCGAGCTCCGGGGATTTTTGGGGTTGACCGGGTACTAAAGAAAATTTGTCCAGAACTATGGTTCCATCGCGCGGCCGTTGACCAACCAGTTGTGCAAGGGCGCATTCAAGTGGACGGCGGAGGCAGACACAGCGTTCCGTGCCTTGCAGAAGGCAATGACAACCATGCCAACGCTAGCTATGTTGGATTTCACGATCTCGTTCGTCATCGAGGCTGACGCGTCAGGCAGGGGAATTGGGGCGGTCTTATCACATAACCGTCACCCTATTGCTTTTATGAGCCGCACGTTGGGACCATCGAAGGCAGGCTGGTCTACGTACCAAAATGAGATGTTAGCAGTTGTTATGGCATTCCAAACTTGGCGACCTTATCTATTGGGGCAAAAGTTTCACATCTACACGGACCACCAGAGTTTGAAACACCTTATAGATCAGGGAATTTCAACGCCGGACCAGCACAAATGGCTTTCTAAGCTGCTCGGGTACGACTACGAAATCCACTATAAACCGAGACCCATAAATTTGGCTGCCGATGGTCTCTCCCGGAGCATGGGTGGAGCACTCTTATATCTCATCTCTCGGCCTATTAATAACTTTTGGGATGAGGTACGGCAAGCTGTCTTAGACAATAAGTATCTGCGGGAATGCAAGGAGGTGGCCTTGTCACCGAACTCGGGTGCGTACGCCTTCCGCCAGGTCTGGTGTTCTTCAATGGATGGATAGTCCTTCCGCCCCACTCCTCGCTGATACGGTCTTACAAGAGTTCCACGACTCTCCGGCGGGCGGGCATTCAGGCGCGAAACGTACGTTGCTGCGCGTTCGCGGGCACTTTTACTGGCCTAGGATGGTCGACGTGGTGCGAGATTATGTGGCCTCGTGTGATACTTGTCAACGGGTCAAGGTCTCGTCGCTTCGGCCGGCGGGGTTGCTACAGCCGCTATCGATACCCGAACGAGTATGGGAGGATGTGAGCATGGATTTCGTGGTCGGATTGCCACCTTCGGGAGGAAAATCGGCATTGCTGATCGTGGTGGATCGATTGACTAAATACTCTCATTTCATGACATTATCGCACCAATACACGGCCAAGACAGTAGCCGAACTGTTTGTGCAAGGAGTGGTGAGACAACATGGAATCCCGACAATCATTGTTTGTGATCAAGATGTCGTTTTCCTGTGGCAGTTTTGGCAGGAACTGCTTGGCATGACTCGGACGAAGATTCACATGAGCTCTGCATATCACCCCCAGTCTGAAGGACAGACGAAGATCGTCAACAAGTGCCTTGGGCAATATCTTCGAAGTTTCGCACACGAACAACCGCGGAAATGGTTAGCAATGCTCCCGTGGGCCGAGTTATGGTATAACACTACTCACCATCGGACTATCATGACATCTCCATTCCAAGCTGTGTATGGCCGTAGCCGCCGACGATCGTGAAATACAGGTTGGGAGGGAGTCCAGTGGATGCGGTCGACCAATGGTTGGAAGCACGTGATGAAGCTCTGGAGAAACTGAAGGTGACGCCAGCTACCGCCAATAACAAGACAAAGCAGATGGTGGATGCGGGCAGGCGCGACGTCGAGTTTAAGGAAGGGGGCTGGGTCTTGTTGCGCGGTATCTCGGGCTGTATCGGGTGTTGGCACGCGTTGGGCAGGTTGCATACAAGCTGGAGCTTTCAGAGGGCGCACGGATTCATTCCACCTTCTATGTCTCCTTGTTGAAGCAATATCGAGGGACGGAGACACCTGCTGAGATTTCAAGCCCTCCGGTGTCCGCTGATGGTGAGATGAAGCTCAATGTGGAGCGGGTGTTGGACACTCATTGGGTTCGCGTCGGCCGGAAAATTGGAGGAGTCCCTGGTGCAATGGCAGCACTTACCAACTGAAGAGGCAATGTGGGAGTCGACGAAGGCGTTGCGGAGCAGATTTCCAGATTTGGAACTTGAAGACAAGGTCAATCTTGCAGTGGAGGAGATTGTTGAAGGTACCAGACGGTCAGCTCGGGTACCCAAACCCAACCCGAAGTACTAAACGAATTGAGAGTTGAGTGAGAGTTGAGTATTTAAGTTCATTTGTATTTTGGGAAGAGTTTTTACGCAGAACATTAATAATAAACTTTCCAAACTCTATCTCCTCGAAAACCCTACTGTCTTTTCTCGTTCTCTCCTTCCAATCACAACTCTCTTCTTCTCCTGATCTTCTTTCTTATCTTAGTACCTACAACAGGTTCATAGGGCTACCAAGTGCTCAAGTAGCCCTAACTTTTGCACAACTAGTTCCAGACCAATTGTTTTATCTTTCTCTTCAATGATCAATGATTCGCCATCGTCTTCATCAATATGTACTCTCTATAACTGGAGCTTAATCGATGTTTTTGAAGGTACCTCTCAAGTTTCTTCTGTCATTATGCTTGCTTTGCACAACAATAAGCTACACACAAGAATAGGTAGAAAAGATTCACTCCCTAAACAATTGGGCACAAAATGCAAACCAACAAACAAATACGAGATATATAGAAAGTCTCTCTTAATCGATCTCAGGGTATCAATCAAAGCTCCCAGGAGTTGCTATTCAGAAGCCCTAATCATAGTCCTCTCTATAATGCTCAATATATGAGAGAATAATTTTCCTAATAATGTACAATCAAGATAGATCATAATACTTAGTATAGTTGTATTAGTTTGTTATTTCTTAATGCCAAATTTCTTCTTTATCTTGTAATGATCTTGATGTTAAATTTGAAATATTTCCTTTTCGATGAGGACGTAGTTGTACCCTTGTACAAGTTTTGATGATTATATAAAAATGTTAGTATATTACCACGATCGCCTATACACACCCTTCCAATACACTATGAGAGCGTATAAGCAAATAGCAAGGTTTTACAACTTGTAATGCCAAATAAAACTTCATGTTCCAATGAAAACTAAATACGAGTACACCAAGTACCTAACCTTTTCTCTATCATCCAAACCTCATTTGGAATTTGTTTCTTTTGATAAATACTTTTACCTTAATCTATGAATCAATCAGATACTCCAGCTGCTAAATTTCTGCCACCTGAAAGTGTGTCGACTGATGCACCACAAAAGACTCTCTCACTCTCAGAGTCAACAACAGGCAAAGATAAACATGTATAGTTTGTATACTGTGGAAAGCAAATGCAGCAAGCAATCATCAAATGCTTGACCAGAACAAAAGTCAACAGAATTCTAACATCACTGAGTAAACGCACCAGAATTTAATATGACGGCCAATTTGCTCTTTCACCTAACATGTTCCGTCCCACTCCATCTTTACAAACAGATCAACCCAAGAAAGGGGGAGATGCCGTGTCAGTGATCCAGTTATTTTTGGGTATCTAAATGATGCAGTGATGCAGTAATGCAGTAACTCTTATATGGACACTGATACTCAAATTGTTCGAGTACCGTTAGTACAAAACCGGTGCTTACCAAGAAGATCAAAATGTCAATCTGTCGATTGAAGATCAGCCATCTTCATTATTGTACCAAAAACCCTCCATAACGATGATGTTAAATCTTCTGTTATGCATTGCCACCATTCACATATCAAAGATGGGTTAGGTTGCCCATGCTAGCTCGCTGAGGACATCATAATAATGCAGGACTTCATATTTCAATGCTTGACGTGCATCTGATGTTGATCACATTGACCTACATGCATAAGTTTCCCATACCCATAGTCCCTCACCATGCTTTGGGAAAAAAACGGACGATATCTATCTCTTCTCGACCTGCAATTCGAAGCTCGCAACATGTGATCAGGAAGCTTGGAATGACACTGAAGTTTCTTACACTACTCAGCCTGAATCCGGCTTAACTTTCAGTAACATAACTAAGAAACTGAATAGCACGTTACCTCGCCGTCTTGCTTTATTTGATTTTCAGGTTGGGCAAAGAAACGTTTAGCATTGTGAGCCACCTCGGCCTCTACTATAGCTTCCAACATAATGTCTGATCCATTCAGTTTATCTGCAATTACAATTAATAGGGACACTTCTTCAGTAAGAATATAGTACTCTGAAAAGCCTCATGATTAGCATATATGTAATCCGCAGTTAGAAATAAATGAATAAGTAAAATTATGTAAAGCCAGACAATCCGAATGCATAGAGTCAAGTGTCTGTTCGGCCAAAACCTGAATCATCATCAATTGGATAAGCTAGAAAGCGCATATCATTTGTATAAACTTTACAAAGACTCGGTCATACTCAATCTTTTCAACTGATTCTCTTTTGAAATTTTAATGTACAAGAAACACTATGACCGTGGTTCCAATTTTAAACTGAAAGCAGTAGGAAACTGGCAAGAGGCATCCAACATATACAGTAATAACAGAGCTCAAGTAAGCAGTACTACCCTGACGATTAGGTAGCATTCCAGTACTTTCAGCCGAAACAGGCAAAACATGAAGGAGACCTGGACCATCAATCTTCTGTTCCGAGTCCAAACTAGCCTTAACGGCTGCAGATTCTGCCAACCTTGCATAAGCAGTTGCTTGGCTGTGCACATTGGATGAATCCGAGACTAATGAAGAAGCATAGATCTTGATAGCAAACAGAAGAAAAATAAATGATTAGGTAATCAGTATCTTCAACTCCACCCACAGGTCATGATCCAGAACATAAGAAGCACATTAGTTTACTCAGTCGGCTAAAACCTTGGAGACCGTAGTTGCGGATATACTCTCAGAACGAGATTGGTCGTTTGAAATCCGAGAGACAGTAGCTGTTGAAACATTTACTACACCGGAAGTTTCAGCCACTCCACTGCCTAGGTTCCCCAGAAAACCCAAGCCAACCAAGGATTAGAAAACCCATCAGCAGGAAAAAGGAGCAATGATCATTGATCAAACTAGAAAAATAGTGAGGACCATAGTTACCATCAGCAGCAGCAGATGGATCAGCAAGATCATCAATCATCCTCCGAGTCATTGGTCCAGGTCTCAAAGTAGAAGCGCTTCTGATCTCATAAAGTATGGTTTCAAGCTGAGTCATCTTATCTTGAAGCTCCTTGTGAACCTAAATGGCTCAAAATATTGAGGCGTTGATCAAAATCAGCATCACCTCCCATTAGAAACACACCCATAACCTACATTTCACCAGAAGGTAACGTGTACCTGACGAGCTTGAGACTGCTGCATTAAACTCTCGAACTGGCCGCGGGCCAATTGAACGTAAGCAACCGCTCGACCAACTAGCCTCCCTCCAGTCCTCGCTATCACAGGCAAATCTTTTGGTCCTGATTGGACACATTTCGTTTAAAAATGTCAAAATCCCTAAATGCTCCAACACTGCAAATTTCTTTTACCAGCGATTGTTGTGGCCTACAAGCAATTGAAAGAATAAAAGCAAGGAGTTTAAATTACCGATCAGAGCGGCGGTGGCTCCTAGCAAGAGGAAGAGTTCGCCGTAAGAGATTCCGAACATCGTGTTGTGAATTGTGATTTCTCCTCGGAGGGGATTCGAAGTGGTTGGCTGTTTTTACCTGGTTCTACACTGCCGGTGAGAGAAAAACAAAAATGGCGTTTACCCGACTAACGGCGGCGATTTCATTTCACTTGTTTGAATGGGCTCGGATTCACTTGGGCCTTGGCCCAGTTTTTTTGCAGTTCCGGACTTTTGGAACTGAATCACTATTGGTCGCCCTAATATTTTAAAAAAATCGCCATAATTTATACTAAAATTACCTTATTGTCCTCTCATATATTTCGTCACAATTCATAAACCTAAATTTAAAATTGCCGTGAACATCATTCACCAATCCCTTCAACCTGCCGCTGGCATTGTCGAGGATAAAACTACTCACTAGTTTTAGTCAGAGAAACAAGGAAAACCCATTACCAAACAACAAGAGCTCCATCAACGACTTTCTCGTTGCTCACTTCTCAGCAGCATCTCTTCATCAACTCACCACCACAAAAAACCGAATACAATATATCCACCTCTCAGTTACAAGCCCTCCCTCCATTAACTCATTTTCTCACCGCCTCTACAGCTGCCGGCAACGGAGCATTCAATGTACCTCACCAGAGGACTTTCTCAACTTCCATCACCATCAGCATCAATCAAGTCTGGCCTCTGATTCACGATATCAGCCAGCAGCACAAGGAAGATATATGCAGTTATGGCGAACCTCTAAGCACAGCCAATAGACGTACTGGAGAGGGGGGCAGGCAGGGGAAACAGTCTCAGCCAGAGGTCATAAATCCGCCGCCCAAACCACTAGAAAATCGACCAGTCAGCGACGGCAGCCGAGTATTCCATTCCCTGATAGAGAGAGTAGAGAGGATAGAGGGATCAGCCAGAGTTAGGAAGGTAAATCCAGCGGAGTCACAACTAACCTGATCTGCAGAAGATTTCCATAATAAAGGCAAGAAGAGGGCACCTGAGATAAAGACAGATCGGAGCCGTCAAGCAATCATCTCCATTTATTACAAGCCCAGACTGTGGCACAAAACCACTGGCAATACTAAATGCCGGGGAGAAGTACACAAGGCACAACCTGCAGATAGCGACCCAATAAGCTCCAGACCGTCCAGAGAAGTAATAAATGTCTGGCCAAGCAGACTCCACAATTGGCAATTAAGAGGATGTCTGACAATAACATTAGAGGAAGGAGAAGAAAGGGGAGGTACAAAAAGGAGGTTAGCATTCAATGCATGGAAGAAGACGGAGAGACTCAGGCGAGAAGGGATCCTAGCCTATATAAAGCAGGGAGTAGAGGAACCACATCATCCTCACCACCAGAATACATACCAGAGCAACCAAGCTGATTCCCACCCCCTACAGTTTTCCCACGATACAAAATCAACCACCAAAATGGAGAACAACACACTGAATGTAAGGGGAGAAAAGAGCCACCTGATCCTGAACATCCGGCCAACTATTGTCGGAGCTAGAGGCATCGGAATGTCAATGCTACTAGGCAAGTGGGTCACAGACTCGAGCATCAACCTACACAAGGCTAGAAATGCTGCGATCGGCAAGTGGAGGGCTTATGGGGAGGTGCAAGCAACCAAAGAAGCAGAAAATCTCTTTGTCTATACCTTCCAATCTCAACAACAAAGAGATGCGGTCTATGATGCAAGGCCTTGGAATCTCAGAAACACCTTCATTGCTCTGAAGAAATGGGATGAAGAACAGAAGGCCGAGGCAGAGGACATCCAAACTGTCACTCTGTGGGTGCAGATGCACGATCTACCCCAGTCCCTAAAAGATGATGAAGCAATCCAAGCACTGGCGGAATACATCTTCCCTCAATATCACTGTTTAGACCAGTCGAATCTCGACTTCAGAGGATGGCCCAAGTTCATCAGAGCCAAGGTGGAGGTCCAACTCGATCAACCCATCCCTATTGGGTTTGATTTTGAATACCCACTGGGGGAGAAGTCTATCTGGGTTAGCTTCAAATATGAGAGGATAATGGACCTCTGCTACTTCTGCGGACGATTGGGACACCTGATCCACAACTGTCTACACAGAGAAGATCATAGGAGAAGAGGACTAAGCATCGATCCATTGGAAGTATACACAGCAGCACTGAAAGCGGGCCATGACTCGCCGGCGAACACCCCTCCGGCGTCGTTCAGGGAAAAGATGGCCAGGGCTCGCCGACCAGCCCTAACCGGCCATTCAGCAGGCCTGATTCGTGGATCTCGAGGAGACAGTACCCTCCTGCACCTGACTGGTCAATCGCCCTCCTCGAGCCCACCGGGATTCGCTGCGCTGACTCTGCCAGCTGCAGTGAGAGGAACGGCCTGGACCCAGAGAGGAGAAGTCATAGTACCAACCTCGACCATTGTACCTACCTCGAATGTCCCAACCAGCTTCCTGGAAATGGAGATGGAAGCTACAGCTAGGGCAATGCAGAGGTCCCTTGACCTGGGGGAAGGGGGAAGCAACAAAGAGAAGGCAGCGGGCCTATTCGAAATGAGCCGAAGCATATCCCTTGCAAGCCCATACTATGCAGCTGAGGAAGCCCACAGCCCTGTCCCAATGCAGCCCACAACAGACCCGAGTCATAGCCCACTGGAGCAGAGTATCATTCCAATCCAAGAGAAGGAAAGAGTCCCAGGGGAAGAGGAGAACAAGCCCAGACCAGAAAAGAAAAGGAAACCGGAGGACTTCACAAGCCCAAGCAACCCACTCCCGCAGTTGGAGAAATCAACTAACATATCTTTTGATTCCTTGACCTTTGTTCCAGGTGAAAACTGGAAGACCTACCAGAGGAGAAGAAATCTTATAAGGAGGAGGAGCATTGCAGAACTGACAACAGAAGGGAACCAGTCCGGAGAAGGCGAGTCGATCTCTCCGAGGGCAGCGGTGGCACGCCTGAAGCCACCTAACCAGGAATGAGGATCCTCAGCTGGGATTGTAGGGGATTTGGCCAATCCCTTACAAGGAACTACTGTGCTAGGCTCTGCCGCCAGTTTGGCCCTTCTGTGATTTTTCTTATGGAGACCAGGAAGGAAGACCCTTTCATGGAGGAAAAAAGAAGAGCCATGAAGTTTGATCACTCCAAATATGTTAGCCCTGCAGTAGAAGGTAGTGGACTAGCGCTATGGTGGAAGGAGGAAGTAGAGGTCTGAGTAATAGATGTGTGTAAATCCTATATGGATGTAGGAATTAGTAAGGAAGGGGTAGAGTTCTATTGTACTTTTGTTCATGCTCCCACCACGGCGGTGGAGAGGAGGAACCTATGGGATCGACTTACGACCATTAGGGATTCTCCGGAAGATAGTTGGTTGATTGTAGGGGATCTGAATGTTGCACTGCAACCTTTTGAAAAACAGGGGCGGTGCCCCCTTAGGAATGAAAATGTTGATCCTTTCAAGTACTTCATCTCGCAGAATGCACTAATCGATTTGGGTTTCTCAGGACAGGTCTTCACTTGGACCAATAACCAGCAGGGACCCGACCTGATTAGAGAAAGACTTGACAGGGGCCTTTGCTCAGCCTCATGGAGAATCAGTTTCGGAGGGGCCACTGTGTACCACGAAGATTTTGTTGAATCTGATCATTGTCCTATCAGAATTGATCTACACCCGAAGAAACAGGACAGGAATACACCCTTCCGATTTGATAAAAGATGGAGAGAAAATGGGGAATGTAGCCAGATCATTGACAATAATTGGAACAATGGGGGAAAAATTCATGAGATCCTCGACAAATGCAGGGATGATCTTCGCCGATGGTCAATCAAGGACAGAGCCAACAAAATCAAGAGGGAAAAAGAAATCAGATGAAGACTCCAAGAATTAAAAGGGCCAAACAGGGATCCCATGGCTATTGTAGAGGAAAGGGATCTGCTTCAGGAGCTTGACAAAGCCTGGAAACTTGAAGAAGAGTTCTGGATTCAAAGATCCAGAAATAGTTGGCTCCAAGAAGGAGACCAAAACACGGGGTTCTTTCATGCCAGTACACTCAAAAGAAGAAGCAGGAACAGAATTGTGAAACTGAAAAATGAGGAAGGGAGGGGGATCAACAACAGCCAAAACCTTGAAGAACACGTCAACGGGTTCTATACCAACCTTTTTACAAGTAGGTCGGAGCCTTTTGACCATGATACTCTTACTGATTTCCCCTTCTTGGTCTCCCCTAAGGACAATAGGGTTCTCAATGCTGACCTTGGTAAAGAGAAAATCCGGAAAGCTGTTTTCCAACTTGGAGCCAACAAAGCACCAGGCGCGGATGGCTATCCAGGACACTTCTTCAGAAGGTACTGGAACCTGATTGTAGATTTGTTTTGCGAGGAGATTATTGAGTTTTTCAGCACCAATGTGATGCCACCCAGCTGGAATGATACGTACATCACGATTATCCCCAAGGTTGAAGCCCCGGAGACTATTGGACAATTCAGGCCAATCAGCTGCTGTAATTTCAGGTACAAGGTTATCACTAAAGTCATATCCAACAAATTACAACCTCTCTTACCGAAGCTGGTCAGTGAACTTCAAGCAGCTTTCACAGGAGGGAGACAAATTCAGGATAACATTGTGATTGTACACGAAGTACTTAACTACTTCAAGAAACACAAAACTGGGACTCAGAAAAACATGATGATGAAGCTCGACATGAAAAAAGCCTATGACCTTGTGGAATGGGATTTCCTTATTGAGTTACTCAGAGCTTATGGTTTCAATGAAACATGGTGTGGTTGGGTTAGAACCTGCATTTCATCAGTGAAGTTCAGAATCCTCTTCAATGGGAACCCTACTGAGGAATTCACCCCATCTAGGGGCATCCGTCAAGGGGATCCTCTCTCCCCTCTTCTCTTTATCCTAATGAGCAACGCACTATCTTTCCTTATTGATAAAGCTGTCCAGAGAGGAGATCTAAGAGGTTTGAAGCTCAACAGATCTTGCCCTTTGCTCACACACTGTTTATTTGCTGATGACACCGTCATTTTTGGCAAGGCTTCAATAGTGGAAGCTTCAAGAATTCTTAGCATTATCAATGAGTATGGTTCAATAACAGGTCAAGAGGTCAACAAAGATAAATCCTCGATCTTCTTCAGCCACAATGTC